GTTCAGACTGGTTCGTATCGGTCAAAAGTGATCGATACAGGTGATCGATAGAGCATCCGCTGGATTCACATCGGTCACTCCTTGACCGATACGCTTGATCTATAGGATCTTCAAAAACTTGGCTGGATCCCATCGGTCAGTCTTGACCGATACAGATGATCGATAGAGCATCCGCTTGATTCCCATCAGTCACTCCTTGACCAATACAGATGATTGATAGAGCATCCGCTTAATTCCCATCGGTCACTCCTTGACCGATACGGATGATCGATAGGATCTTCAACTCCTCTGCTGCATTATATCGATCAACACAGACCAATAGGGTTTGTGTTATGACCGATAGAACACCAGAAATCGCCTTCCTTAGCTCCTTTTGCTCCTTCTCAGCTTGGCTAACTCCTTGAACCATTCCCACACTTCTTCCTTGCTCCCAATAGCTTCTTAAGTACCTAAAAACATGCTTAATGCATAGATAATGCAAACTACAACCTAAATACAACCTAAGTCTATAAGGAAAGGAAAATGGGACTAAAGAGAAAGAAAACATGCAAGAGGAGACCAAAACATGAACTAAATGCAAGCCTAAATGATGTAAATGTATGAGATATCAACTACTTACTACACTTAACCTTTCGAACCTAAATAAAAGTTACTATGTATATAGAATAACTAAAATTATTTGAAACTAAACTCAAGCCACTACCAATTACCGACTGAAAGCGTTACTCTGTTATATAACATATGAAGTCAAAGAGAAATAAGCCCGTTTATATACTACACGACTATTATATGTAAAATAGCATTTCTTTGGAGATCTTCAAAATTAATTCAAAAAACTTTAAAACTAAATCCAAAATATTAATTACTATACCCAAAATCTCGTATCTAAACTCTCATTCCATAAGATGGTTGAGTGGGAAAATTTTGAATGCATGGTAGAACCGTTATCTGCAGGAAACTTGCAATATTATAATGAAAAACTATATATAACAACCATCATATATACTAGAGAAAATTTAGTAAATAACTTTAGATAATAGTAAAATTAGGAAAATGAAGCTAATAATCAAAAATTAGATTGATACATATTATATATAGAAATTATGACTATTTTGCCCTTATAATTATTTGATGCGGTTTTGGTGGATAACAATTTGATTACCATGCTAACTAATATGATATTGTGATAATTATGTTAACTATGCTAACTAATATGATTCTCGATTAGCACATTATACAAATATCGAGTTAACATTATAACTATTGTGTTAATGTTGCTATTATTTCATAAAAATAGGAGTTAACTTTGTTAACGATATAAGTTATACAAAATTATCATGTTAACAATGTTATCATATCAACAATTTATCATACTAACGTTATGAGCATGATAACTATTGTGTTAACGTGAATATCACCATCTTTTATCCCATCACCACCACCACCACCTATATCCACCACCACCACCGGACACTACCATCACCATCGCAATCACCGACACTATCACCACCACCACCACCACCACCACTGGCATTGTCATCACTTCAATCACCACCAGCCTGCCATCACTTCAATCACCATCGCCCCACTATCACCAACACCACCACCACCACAATCGGCATCACAACTATCACCATCACCACCGGCATCGCCATCATCTCCACTATCATCGGTGCGCTATCACCACCATCATCAATAACTCACTATTAGTATTTATCTCTGTGGTATAAAGAATCCGTGAAGAAGCAAAGAGGAAAGAGGAAAGAGAAGATGAAGAAGCAAAAGAGAAAGAGAAATGAACAGTATAATAAGGACTATATCGTCTTTTGGAAATACACAGTAACAAAGAGAGAGAAGAAAAACCTGTCAGTTAATTGTCAGGTTATTTGAGTCTATCTAGTGCAATTACTCTATATACTATCTACTATAGTTGTGATAGCATTATATTCATTCACTTTCATAGATTGTAAATGAAAGTAGTGGAGAGAGAGATATAAATAATAAACAATAAATAAAAAAAACGAGAGAGAGAGATGAAAGGTGTGAAAGAGGAAGAAAGGACAGGGTTGATTTAGATATTATATATAAAATACACACTATATTACACTATGATTATTTAATAGAGAAATTGTATTCGATGGCCCCAATTAACCTGACTATTAACTGACTCAATCTTCTTCTCTCTCTTCACTACTGCTTATTGCAAAAAGACATAAAATACCCTTGTCTCTTATCTCTTAAAATCAATCGAAAAAACTCAAAATATTTTATGTCTTTGTCTTCTCCACCATTACCAGTTTTTTCAAGATTTTTTTCTGTTTTCCATTCTTTTAAGAATTTGTTTGTGTGTCTCTCCCTTATATAAATTTTGAAATTGATGATGTTGGTGGTGGTGGGTGGAAATAATGACAAAAGACGATGATGGTGATGGTGGTGTTGTTGATAGTGGCAGTGGTGATGGTTATTAGTGGTAGTAGTGTTTTTTTCGATGGGGGTAGTGGTCGATGGTGTTGATGGAGTTGCCGGTGGTGGTGGTGGTGGTGGTGGTAGATGATGTGGTGGTGGTGTTGATGATGGTCGGTGGTGGCAAAAGTGTTGGTGATGGTCGATGGTGGCAAAAGTGTTTTTGGTGGTGGTGGTGGTGGTCGATGATGGGGATGGTGTTGGTGATAGTCGGTGATGGTGATGGTGATAGTCGGTGGGGTGAAAGATGATGATATCAACGTTAACATGATAGTTATCATGCCCACAATGCTATTAAGATAATGTTTTGATATGATAACACTGTTAACATGATAATTTTGCATAATTTATACAATTAACAAAGTTAACTTCTATTTTTCATGAAATGACAGCAACATTAGCATGATAGTTATCATGTTCACGAAGTTAGTATGATAACTTTTTTGATGTGATAATATTATTAACATGAAAATTTTATTTTTTATTATATGATAACTAGTTAACTCGATATTTGTACAATTTGCTAATCAAGCACCATATTAGTTAGCATACTTAACACAATTATCGCAATATCATATTAGTTAGCATGATAATCGAATTGTTATCTATCCAAACCGCATCAAATAATTGTAAGAGTAAAATAGTCATAATTTCTATGTATAGTATGTATCAACCTAATTTTTGATTATTATCTCCACTTTTCTAATTTTAGTATTAATTTAGGACATTTACTTAATTTTCCCTATTTAATAGTATTTCTAAATTTTAAACTCTAGTCATAAAATTGCATGTACACAATTTAGCTTTAAATAACATAAATTTGGATCGAATACACGAAGAAACAAAACAAAACTAAGCATATATTATTAGAGAATATATCCTAATTAAAACTTATTAATAATCTTAAATAATATAGAATGAACATATGGCCAATTTATTCATTATCAACTGGTTTTGGATTGATAGTCTATATAACTTAATATAGTATTAAAGCTCGATCTATGCAATCTAACATGATCCATAATTGATATGTGACTTAAAGATAGTCTCTCGATCTTAACCTAAATATTATTGAGATCAATAACCAAAATAGTTATCATCTTGAGGAAGCATATTAAAAAAAATATTTCACATAAAAATTAGAAAGAATCTTAAGTAAGATATATAAAAAAAAACTAACAAGAGATCATGGATAGAATAATTTATCTATCAATTACTAACAAAAGTTAATGTCTTACCCCACTAAAATGTCTAAATATGATTTAAAAGAATTAATTTTCTTGATTTTTTACAACCGCTCAATGAATTTTTTATAAAAATATTAGGTGATGACCCGTGTATACACGCTGGTTTATATTTTATTATTTATTTTATATTTAAATTTAATATACTATTTTCTTTTAAATATATTAATGATATAATTTTATATTTGTTAATCTATATATTATTTAACTTGTAATTTTAAATATTTTTTTATAAATTTACATATTAAAGTTTTCTATTTATTTATCTTGAATTTATATTATTTTTGAATTTATATAACTTCTTTTTTTATTTCTCCTTTTTTCTTCGAATATATTTTTTATTTGCTCTCATTCAATAACCATTTTGTTATGTATACACATTTATTTATAGTAGGTAGGCCGTGTATCTCGATTTATGTACTCTCTCTGATATCTCAACACATTAAACTCTAGACTCTACAATTCAACTTGGTTAGTAAATTCATAATTAGAAAATTAATTGATGTGCTTTCCAAGGGAAAATTATAATTTCAGTAATATACATTCACAACTTCTATTAGAGTAAATAATATTTGTAAACAAAATTTATAATATATTAGGTGAGTAGCTGTGGATATGTCTATTTTGTGTTTTTTATAATGAGTTCATTTAATTTTATTTGAATTTATGTCATACCTGATAGTGAATCAAAATCAATTACAATTTCAAGAATAACAAAATCACAAATACTCTCTTACAAGTTCGTTCTGCATTTTCTCTAATATTTTTTTTCCAGTTCAGAGACATGATGACTACGTGCCTGCAATAATCGACAATGAGAAGTTTCCATAAGCAAGCTGCGACCAAGTTGTGAATACAGAATGCAATTTGTGTGGAGAAGTTTCTGGGATTTCGAACCTCATGGCGTTGCATTGCAATGGAACGCTTCAATGCTTTGCTTTTCTGAGAAGATTTCTTGGTCTCAAGCTAATTGATCTCTGGTAATTTTTTGCACGGTAGAAAATAATGGCAAATTCCTTAGGAAACTTTTCTATTGCCACAAGAACTTCACCGCTCTGGTATTCTAGTAACCCAGCTGTGTCCTCGAGAACTGCAAGACTCTTCTATTTTGATATAAGTTTCGCCAATTCTCTGTGTTTCCAATGCAAATGCATATTCTCGATGACTCCATCAAAACACCATGGATATCTGGTAGTCATGTCCACGTAAAGAAACTGTTAATTCATATAAAATGAGACATTTGTTTCATTCTTAATATAGTGCGACTCATCCAAAGGTAAATACGATTTTATTTTAAATCCCACTTTCCGGAACATAATCACCACATTGTTCTGTTTCTGTGTTATTCTCTGCAACAACAAAAAAGGATCAAATCACAGCCTCCGTCAAGTCGAACCAGATTATTCCATTGCAACAACCCTAATCAACAGTTAGATCCGACCTGCAAGTCTAAACTTGGGATTAAAGCAAAAACACATTTGATCTATTTCAGTAACTTACGTAGTAAGGGATGTATGTTTGTCTTCCATTGACAAGACCACTGGTGTAGCCAGTGTAACCAGCCATTGCGCCATGAACCACACTCTGAGCAAGAAGTGTACAGTAGACATTGTCTGATGCATTGCTTGGAACAGCATGGATCATGTATGCTGGATCTAAAAAGCGAGAAACGAGAAATGAGTTTACAAAGAAACAGTAAATCCAAATATTTGAAATTTAAAACGGGGGAATAAAAGGGTTATCATTTTGTTACCAATGTATTTGAGATTCATCACCATCTGAATCTTCTTAAAATGATCCTATCACTAGAGCGAAAAACGTTAAAAACACTGATGAGTTTTCTGTAATGGCATAAGAGAAAGTTCGAGTCTTGTTTTATATACCTTAATGCTTTGTGATAGCCAGAAGCCGACATCTTTAAGAAGTTTATTACCAGACACGTCCTTGAGAGTATTAGATTCCATGCTTTTGGACATCAAATCTTGTCCTGCTCCTTCAGCAAGAACAATCACCATGTGACCATGTTCCTTGAGCCGTTTCTCTATGAACTCCAAGAGTCCACCTTCTCTTTTGAGGTTAAATGGTGACTCGGGAATCAAGCAGCAATCAACATCTCTACTTGCTAATGTAGCATACATCGCTACGAATCCTGTAGGAAATCAGGACATAGCCTTTTATGAATAACAGGTTTTTAAGTGTAATGTTTCAAGGCAAAACACACAGGAAGAGAAAAGCTTACCACTGTAACGACCCATAAGCTTAACAAAATCGATACCATTCTCATTACTCTCTGCTTCAACATTAGCTGCGTTGATTGCTCGTTGAGCTTCCTCCACAGCAATGTCAAACCCAAAAGATTTGTCTATAACCGGTATATCGTTATCAATCGTTTTTGGAATTCTTTTCCACGGTATATTACAATGTAATACTTGTTTCTGAGCAGCAAAACACCCCCATGTCAATGCATATAACAAACATAATAAAAAAGAAATGAAACTTAGCATGATGTGTACTACTAAAGTACAATCTTAATTCAAAACTGTAAACTTGACATGATGCATCTTTTGTTACCTTTTTCTCTCCTTAGAAAACTTAATTGCAAAATCTCATAAGAAATTTGGATTGAATCCATCAAGACAAAGCATACACCACTTATACCAATTAGATTTTAGCTAAATCCATTATCATTGTAGAGTTATTTAATTACTTTAAGAGAAGAAGAGAGGACAAACATGGCGATTTATTGAGGAGGAGACTTGGCTCTTCTCTACAAGTATCGACTTTTTCTGAAAATAGGGTGAAAACGAAAACAATTGTACACGCATCAGTGAAGTGAAGGGAAATGCTTCGCCGACGAGATCGCCGGAGTACATGGTTTAAGGAAGAGACCAACCTGTTGAGGGGATTCTTCCGGTGACGCAGAGGAAAGCGTTCTTGTGAGTCTCAGCAATCGCCGTTGTTGGCAGCGCGAGGACAATGTTTATCTCAAGTGTTGGGATCGGTGCATGTACCGATGTTGTTACTTCTATCGCCATCTTCAATCACTCTCGAATCTCTCTCGTTACATGGAAGTAGGTGTAGCAAAAGAGAAGATAAACCCAAATCAAAAGAGAATTGATAAACCTTAAATCAGGCGTGTAACCTAACTCTAATGAAAACGATATAAAAGCTTTAAATTGTGTGAGAAAACGCTTCTGGGGAATCATTTTTGTTTGACTGAAATAATTTCTTCACGAAAGACTTTTATTTTTTTTCTATTATTTTTTTTTCTGATGTGTCAGGAAAAAGAGTGTTGTGAGACTCAACTGAGTTTTTATATAATAGACTAGGTTTATAATTCGCGCTACGCGCAAGTTTGTATAAATAGTTTAATTCAGTTCTTTTTAAGGTATTATCTTTTAAATTATCAAAACTATAATAGATTTATAAAAAAATTCTTTTATATAAAATAATTTAAAATATAATGTGTACTTTTTTCCTATTTTTATTTATACAATTTTAAATCTCCTATTACAATTTTTTTTCTTTAAAGTTTATGTGTTTAACTATTTAATTTTTTTTATTGAATGTCTTATTGTTGTTGTGTACATATGCATATATAATTCATGATTCATGTTGATTCGCATTTAGTTTTGTTAGGAAGTTGCAATGATCATTCAAAATCATTTCTTCCTTTTTTACCAGGCTATCCATGAGTTTTAGCTTATATCTTTATTCAATTTTCATTGAGATCTATTTTTCTGTAGTCTAATATTTGATAATTTTAGTTTCTATACTTGTAGGATCGATAGTGTGGAGTCTTCGCATTATTATTTTTTTTTTATCTTTTGTGTGCAATCTGCATGCTTTGATTTAATCTAGAAATACTAATTTGATTTTGATTCATAACTTTCTCATACTTTATTATTTAAATATAATTTCAGAATGTGTTACTCATATGTTATTAATGTTGGTTCATATATAAGTAGTGACTATGCATAAAAATCAGATTTTACAATCTGTTAAATTTTGAATGTAAGGTTATTTATATTGTGTTTTTCTTTGTTAGTTTTTAAAATCAGAAATACACAGTGTATTAATCATTGTATATTTTACTCATGTAAACCTATTGCAACCTTAGATAGTTATTTATTGTTGATATCAATATTTCATAAATTATGAATTTTTTGAAACTAATTTCTAATTAATTTTGTTATAATTTTGTTATATATTTTACATCTTTTGATTATAATTTTATATTTTATCATAATTTATACAATTTGTTTTGTATGTTTGATATACTTGGAACTTATACTTTTTTTTATTAAGCTTTTTTGTTGGTATGAATGTTTGTTTTGTTAAATTTGTTTTTAATATCAATTTTTATTTTAGTTATAATGCTCATTTGACATGTTTTAACTGTTCAATTTAAATTTTATATGATCTTTTCTCAAAATCTTATATTATCATATTTTTTAGATAAGTTCTTTTATGTTGATTTTTAAAAATGTTAGCCCAAATATCATGTTAGTAAATTATAACATGTTCAAAGCTAAAAAAACATAGATATTTATAAAAATGTTATAAAATGTTATAATTATGTTATAAAAATGTTATAAATATTTATATTTTTTTATAACATTTATAAAAAAAATTGAAACATAAATTTATAACTTGTTGAAAGCTAAAATTTTTTTTTATAAAAATATGTTTAATTTGTCATTGTATACTATCAATCGACTTACTATTGGTATAAAATAATATAAATAATATTATCTTCAAAATGGCAAACTATTTTTACAAACTTGTAAGCCTTCTTTACCACGTAACTTCTTTATAGTTTCCATAAACCTTTAATCACCTACTACAATATTCTTCTTCCTCCCTCTCTTCACATTCCCATGTTATTCCCATGGTCTCCATATGCACTCCTTAATTTCACATTAATTTTGTTTTTATTTTTATTTTTTAACTTTACATCTTTTGATAGTAATGTTATATTTTATTTTAATTTATACAATCCTTTTGTATACTTGATATACTTATGACTTATTTTTATTTTATTAAGCTTTTTTATTATTGATTTTTAAAATATGTAGCATAGACATCAAGTTAATTTCTTTTATATGAATGTTTTTTTTGTTAAATTTTTTTTTTCTTTTAATTTTCAAGTTAATTTCTTTCTTTTAGATATTGAGTTAATTTTCTTTTATGATATTAATTTTTTGTTTTGTTAATTTAACTCTTTTGACATTAAATTTCTATTTAAATTTGAGAGATGCTATATTTTAGTTTTTTTTAACATAATTATTTTTCTATTTGTTGCTTAAGCTTTTTTTATTATGATTTTTTCATCTATGAAACGGAATTAATGTTTTTTTTTTGTCAATTAATTTATAAGTTAGAAATTTTCTTAATCTATATTATAAGTTTTAGCTTTTACGTAATTGTTTTTATATTAACTCTTTTGAAATTAAATTTTTATTTAATTTTGAAGGATACTATATTTTGGTTTTCTTTAACATTAATTTCCTTCCTATTTGTTACTTAAGTTTTTTATTTTGATTTTTCCATATATAAAACAAAATTAATGTTTTTAAAAATAGAAATTAACTTTTAAATGTTTTAATCAAATTTAACATTTTGTGTTTAATGGAAAACGTTGATGTGGACCAATCATATTGAGTTTCTTCATCTTAATCATACTCAACATTTTTGTGTTTAATGAAAAACGTTAATGTGAACCAATCAAATTAAGTTTCTTCGTCCTATGTGGACGTCCTCAATGCACTATGCCTTCAACTTTTATATATTATAGATGTCTGTCCAACTATCTCTCGAAAATCAATTGACAATTCATTTAAGTTTTGTTGAAAATGTCATCAGAAGTGTTTGACTGATTTCTAACGGATTTTTTTGTTGAATATTTCTGATGATTTTTTGATGAATTATTCAAAATTCATTATATATTCTTTTCGTTTTAAAATAAGTGTCATTCTAAAATTTTATTTTTGTTTCACCAAAAGTGTCACTTTACATTTTTAATGCATATTTTGAATAAATATCCAATTTTAACTTTTAAATATTATTATTTTAATAAGAAAGATAATGTTATTTTCCGTGTGAACAAAGAGTAAAACAAAACTTTTAATCATTTTATAATCTATGTAAAAAATGCCAAAATGATACTTATTTTGAAACGGAGGGAATATATATCAGTAGTATTAGTATAGCTGTTTGAAAGATTGAATTTCCGTTGGAAATCTATTATAAATCAGTTTAAAATGTGCATATTCCCACCTCTAAATATGCTTTCATTTTCAATCTTAAGAATGATAAAATGAAAAAGTACTATAGAAACGTCTTCATCAAATCACTATATTTATATTCGATCGTAAATTGACAAACCTCAGCAAGATTAATTACGTTAATAAGTCAGTTTCTGCATCTATATTTTTCATAAGTCAGTCCACATCTAAAGCCGTCAACATAACTTGATGTATTTGCATTGAGTGTGCCTAAATTCCGAACTGAGGCAGTGTTCTTACGTCGCAGTTACATTACATATGTGTGATATGTCCCACTACTGCTAAATTAGATCTGTTGGCTAAGAGTAATGTCCGAACGTAGAGTTGTCCAGCAATTTTTTTTTTTAAGTTTGCAACGGATTAATTTGTATTTGTTTTCTTTATTTATATTTTCTCTCATACAACAAATATTACCTTTTTTTTTGTCACCCTACAACAAATTTTACTACTGTATCATTCTTTCGAGTGATCTTCACATTCAATTTAGCTTTGGCATGCGCTCTTGATTTCTATTAAGGTTCCGGTTTAGGCTTCCCGCGTTGATTAAATTTCTTTTTTTGAAAAAGATCGTGAATCAACTATATATTTCCATTTTTATCGAAAAAAAAACAACTACGTACGTATTTTCCATTTAGGATACGGTTAAGATTTGGTTTACTCTACGGACTATAATTGAGTTTCCTTTTCTCCGACTGGGGTCCTGAAAAGCTGAAACATTTATGATCCGGTTAAGACTTGGTTTACTTCCTGATTAATTGAAACATGACATCATTGTTAGAATGAAAAAACTGACTATTCCCACCGACTCTCAAAAGTAGGGTTTTATATAAGCAGACCCACATTGTGTGATTTCATCGCTCTCTCTATTCTTTCTATCTTTGCTCTTTCGTCAAATCGCAACGCAACAACGAACGATCATGTCGACGAAGAAGATTGTGCTGAAGTCCTCCGATGGTGAGACGGTTGAGGTCGACGAAGCGGTCGCACTCCAATCGCAGAAGATAGCGAATCTTGTTGAAGATGGCTGCGCCGATAATGTAATCACGCTTGAAAACGTTACAAGCGAGATCCTCTCAAAAGTGATGAAATACTGCAAGAAGCACGCTGATGGTGGTGAGGATCTTAAGAAGTGGGACGCCAAGTTCATGGAAATCGAACGATCTACGATCT